CATCACGAACGTATCAAATTATAACATGGGTGAATAACAGGAAAATAGTTTTTCATCACGAACGTATCAAATTATAACATGGGTAAACAAGAGGAAAATAGTTTTTAATCACGAACGTATCACATTATAACATGGGTGAATAACAGGAAAATAGTTTTTCATCACGAACGTATCAAATTATAACATGGGTGAATAAGAGGAAAATATTTTTTCACGTCCGTCGTTTTGTGACTTCGACTGTTGATTTTCGAAGGTACAAAGTTATGTTTTATTTTGTAGTTTGTCATATGATGTAAATCTCACGCTTTCTCATATTTTAAGTATCTAATAATGATCGTCAAATTTTTTAATTGATTCACTGACCACAGATATTATTTTTACAACTACCGAAGGTAAAAAAATATCACGAAAACTATTGTTGCAATGGTTTCTATTATTGGGTGGGCTCTTTTATATTATTCGTTAAAAAAGGGATAATTCAAAATCCAATACACTTAATGATTAAAAAAATGTTACAGTTCTTCAACCTCAAATTCCATGGTTAAAGTACCAACCTTCACCAACAGGTGTAACTTCACAATAGACGCTAAACGAGTAGTTTCTCTTACGTGCTCATAGCTTTGAACTTACCGACTGACTACTATTAATAGATAAACTGAGCAAATGATGCACTTGTTATTCACTGACAACTAAGAAATTTACTAACTGATTACCTCTCTCCCAACTCGTTTTTTTTATGTCGTTCACGTTTAATTTCCTAAACTTTGGAGAAAGTTCTAAACATTAATGTCACTCCAATCACGTGAAGTTAAACTTACATCTGGTTTAACAATAATACAATTTTGTTGAAACTTCTAGATTAAAATAATAGATACAGTACTATCTCCCTTCTCGATTATTAAACAGTCCTATTATATAGGGAAAATAATAGATACAGTACTATCTCCCTTCTCGATTATTAAACAGTCCTATTATATAGGGAAAATAATAGATACAGTACTATCTCCCTTCTCGATTATTAAACAGTCCTATTATATAGGGAAAATAATGGATACAGTACTATCTCCCTTCTCGATTATTAAACAGTCCTATTATATAGGGAAAATAATGGATACAGTACTATCTCCCTTCTCGATTATTAAACAGTCCTATTATATAGGAAAAACAATGACACATTAAACTTAAATTTCCGTATCTATATAAATATAATAGTACTGTCTGTTGTCTGTCCATGTAACTACTTCGCAAGGTGTGGATGGATCTTCACCAAGATTAGTATGGAGGTTCATTCGGTCCATGGGGAGATACATACACATTTTCAGCTTTGTGGTTTTTATGGGCATTTTTTACTACTACTTCGCCCCCTGTTGATGGATTTTCACATAATTTGCCATGAATGTTTGTTGGGTCCATGGGGAGATGCATGCAGATTTTTGCTTTCACATTTTGTGTTTTGCAGTTTTTATGGGCGTTTTTTAGCTTTTGTAGCTTTGCGCGAAATTCAAAACAAACCAATCTAAAGTTACGTAAACGTTAATGAATATTTCATTCACATTAATATAAAACAATATCATATATTTGCCTTTGTCGTTTATTTTAGTTTAGTTTTTACAAAAAGCGCTAATGGTCAGATATAAAAGGAGTAAGTAAGAATGCAAGTACTTATATAATTGCTATATATTTGTTTCGTATATGCGTGCAGAGCTACACAAGCTATTTGCGCGCCCTCCAGTGACTCAGCAGAAAGTCTGAAGTCTTATACCGCTAAAAACCGGGTTTCGATCAGTCCTGGTGGGCATAGCAGAAATAACCCATTGTGTGGCTTTGCGCTTAATAGCAAACAAAAGCTATCTGCGTTAGCCCTTCCTACACTAGATAGAGAACAACTAATCAACAGCACCCATCGCCAGATCTTTGGCTACTTTAATTGATTAGTGAGATTTCACCATCACTCTTACAACCCATTCACGGTTTGAAATTGCAGAGCGCCATTTTGTAGCAACGAGAGGAGAACAATGAACCCTCTAATTCATACAGGTCAATCCTGGCCCAAATGTTATCAGAAATAATTTTGTTTAGAGTTGGATTAATAAGGTACACGATATATAGTGGCTTGAATAAATAACAGTAAGTTT